GTGAGGGCGGGTGACAAATGATTTGGGACAAGGGGCACTCTTGCCTTTCCTCTCCATCACAGGTGCTTGTTTACATTCATTCATTCATTCAGGCTACACCCTCATAGGTTTGGAGCCCTTGGGTAATGTAAACAACTAATGTATTCAACTGTTCAGTGAAGAGTTGGAGGTCCACCGTGAGACAGCCTTACTGACCCACATCCGCGAGAAACCGGCCACTGAGAACACTGTGGAGCCTAGTTCTACTGTGACTCTCGTGGGGCCACCTGGCCTCAGACTGGCCTCTGCGGGTGGAGTCCCAGGCTTGGCCTGCTCTCTGTCGGCGGTCTTCACCACTGAAGGATGAGGTTCATTCCCGCCTGGCTCTGGCACCCAGCCGATCTCCAGTTCTCCGAGCAGATGCCCGGGGCGCCCATCGTCCCCGGAGGAGGGGATAATCACAGGCTGCTCTCCAGCAGCCGGGAGGGTCCAACGGCAGATGAATGTGACCCTGGCGTGGATGTCGCCAAGCGTTCGGGAGATGTTTTTTGACACAAAAGGAAAATACGAGGGCTGCACGAAGTGTTGAAACTATGGAAGTGCTCTGATTAAATCTTTCAACGGGGAAATTATACGCCTGGACACAGCGGCAGTAGCCCGATTATCCAGGGTCAGCTGCTGCAGCTGTGGGTAATTTACTCCCATGACGATCTGGTTTCCGTCTCCCTCCATGTAAGCGTAAGACAACTGCCGCAGCCACGGGAGGTGGGGGAGATGGGGCACATCGCTAAAGAACAATTGTTCGTCCCCCCCACGTACAGAGGCCACACATAAACCTCAAAGTATCGGGGTCATTCCTCAAGGAAAGAGAATCTTGTCGAAGTTATGCGCTCACCCTTTTGATCGATTGCAGCCTAGCACGCACGGAACCACTACGCCACCGGGGCTCTTGAGCTGACCCGTTTTGAAGGTGGGGTTGCCAGCCTGTGTCAGCTGGTGCCAGAAAGGTTGGCAATGGTTTTCCACGTCTGTTGGGACTTGCCTGGAGCCCTGCAGTGGTTATGTATTGGGCTGCTAGCAGTTTGTGTCTGCTGAGCCCTTGTGTTAAAGCACCAAAGCTTCAGGCAGTCACGGGCTCTCGAAAAGAAAGCCCCTGTAAGGTGTGCACTGTGACTCTCATTTCACAAACAGACAACATCCCAGGCCAGGGGAGGGCTATGACCCTGTGCCCTGCCCATGCAGGGTAGCAGGTCAAAGAGCTGGTGTTTGAAGCAATGGGCCTCCCTCCAAAGTCTGTACTGGTTCTGCGTGCAGACAGCTACTGCCCAATGCCTACTCCCCCCTGCCCCCCCATCCAGCAGCTCTCCAGGACCCATGCAAGCTTAGGAAAGTATCGCGCAGGCTTTGAAGCTCAGATTTCTTCACTGTGGAACTATTATAATCCCTATATCATCCGACTCTGTAAAGATGAAATGACATTTTACATATACAATATTTAAGCTATCTATGGGAAACGTATGTACACATCAAGTACATAACATATACAAACCAATACAAGATTCAATCCTGTGTCCCGTACACAGTGAACCCCAGTAAGTGAAAGAGCTAGATAAACACATGCATACATGATCAACACGTGAGGGGTCTTCACCTAACATGACCTGCACGTGACGGCAGTGCATCCCTCACCGTTCACCCGGGAAGCTTTCACAAGCAGGCCTGATGTTCACGCCCACTGTTTTCCATCTAAGGAACCTCTTTCATCCAGAAACCTTAGGCTGAAAGCCAAAAGGCTGACATTCTGTAATGTTTAACCTATGAAATCTAATATTAACAGACACAGCCAGAGACTTGCTAAGGGCACTTAAATGGTATGTAACACACACAGAGAAGCTGGCCTCTAGTCACTCCGCAAATCAGAATGCTGTGGACTCACAGTGGACTTCTGGCCTGCGGAGTTGGAGCTCATTGGACCCATACAGCTTCTAGACACAGATTATTCTATCCTCCAAAAGCCAGGGAGTGCATCTCCTCAGGTTAAGATTCACTAATACCTTGCGTGTATCCTCTATAGATGGTTTGTGTGGTTGTTGTTGTGGTTGTTGTTAGGTGCTGTTAAGTCAATTCAGACTTAGAGCGATCCTATGCACAGCAGAAGGAAACACGCACAGTCCTCACATGACGCATGGCTGCAGCCCTGACCAGTATCTTCACTCTAATCTCGTCAGTCTTTGAACTCTAAGTGCCCCACTGAGCCTCTCCCAAATTCCTGACCCACAGAAACTGTATGAGATAATAACTAATTGTTGATCTTTTACACCACTGTCTTTTGGGGTGATTTTTAAAATGTAGGAGTAGATAACACAGTTTTAACCAGTAGGTTATATATTATTTCATTATAGCTCAGCTCTACAAAGAAAGTATACACCTTATGAAACTTCTCTTAGATTCATTGTAATATCTTGCATCATGGTTCATTAAAGTTTTATCCCCACCTCCCCCCGACCAGCCTTGTGGGACATACATATTTCCAATGTGCATTGCTTGGCTAATTAGATGTAGGGGGTTGTGTCTCCCCTCTTTAATTTCCATCCACATCTGTGAAAACATCGGATCCTTCTCATTTAGCCTGAAAAGGCACAGACAGGCTTGAACTTGACCCCAAGCATGGAGTCAAGCCAAGCTGGACCCAAGTAAATCTGCCGCTGAAGTAGAGATCCATGAGTGAGAAAGACATTCTCCTTGTCCTGGGCTAAGCGCTTTGGGTGTTTGTTCGTTCCTGCAGCCAACGCTGACTGACGCACTCACCGTGCTGGATGATGCCGTGCTCCATAAGCCGGTGGCAAAGCTGCTCCGCCTCCGTCCTGGCAGTGGCCTCACCTTCCTGAACCAGCCAGTCCAGGAATTCCGATGCCATGAAGGTGCGTTCATACTTGACTCCTTCTTCCTCCCTGGGCTGCAGAAGTGTGTTTTCGGGGCTCATCAGCCTGGAAGAAAGGAAGGGTAAAATAAATAAGTACGAAACAAACCTACCCAAAAAGAAAATCGCTCATTTGAAATCCACGAGTCTAATCTTCTCTGAAGCGTCACGGCAACGGGGTCAGGCCGAGATGAAATTCCCAAGTGAGGGTGTGCTTCAGAAAGAAGCAGGATGTACTTTCTTCTGGAAATCCCAAAACTAAAAGTCACCATAATCCGAAGCTCCACCATTTGCAGACCGATTTCATTTTAGCCATCTGGAAAATGAATTGAAATTCACTCACGTCCACCAACTCCCACTCTGCTTTTCCAAGGGGGTTGGTGATCATTAAAGGTGTTATTCCATTCCCCAAATCACTCTTCTACCCCCTCCTCCCTTCGCACCTACTTTCCCAGATAGCTCTGAACGGTACCTTCTGTCCTCTCCAACCTTCAAAATACCTCCCATTCAGGAGCACAAACAATCTCTCCTCCATGCACTTTTGGGGCTTCCTTTAGGTTGGCATCAGCAGCATTAGAGACAGACGACCGACCACTCTGCTCATCCAGAGGGACTCACACTGTCCTCCTGCCTCTTTAGAACCCACTTTTTTGTTGGTTCCATCATTTTTCCCGTACTTTAAACACTAGAATTCCATGAGCTGCAACCTCGAAACCCCTTCTTTTCTCATCTTATACGCTTTCAGGTGAGTTCTTTCATACTCGAGACTTCCATCACCATCCATGCCCCTAACTGGCATGGCTTGAGATGGGCTGACCAGGTCTACGCTCCACAGACCACTCCCACCTCCAGTCCTTTGTTTCCGTACGGGCGCCTCAAAAACACCTCAAAGTCCATAAACCTCAAAGTAAACCCATGCTATTCCCCCAAATAGGGTCCTGCTCTCCTGAGTGCGTCCTCCCTCAGTCAGAAGACATCATCCTTGACACCTCCCACTTCCCCATCGTCCTTCAGTCTTTGGTATGACGTGTGGATTTTCTCTCCCAGATCTCTCTCCCAGCTGCCTGGATTGTCCTATCTCTAGCACAAGTAGACTTAAATCTAAGAATGCCAAAACCTTTAAACTAGATAGCTACAACGCTTTCTTAAAAGCTAAACATTCACGCTTGTGAATCCAATCTCGTGCACCTAAATCTTGACCTAGTAGAAAGATAATTCTAAAATCGTCCTAAATCCTGTTCCTGTTGAAAACATACTTCAATGCCTTCTCGTTACTTTCAGGATAAGGATATCAAACCATGGTCTCGGTTACATGTCAGATCCAGGACCCTCCCCGGGGTCACTCTCACCTCTTTCCTCAGGGCTCCACTCACACGGGTCTGCTTTCAAACACGCTCTCTCAAGGGTCCTTTGATTTGGTGTCCACACAGACAAAATGCATCTCCTGTCGCAATCTGCCATCCTTCTACTTGCGTGCCTACTTAATTCCTTGCCTCTTGCATCTCTGTTCTTGTCAGGTCCCCTGTGTATTTCCATCAGGGCTCGTGTGCTTATCAGATGAAAGACCTAACCTCTGTACTCAATTACAAGCTCCTAGAGCAGTGGTTCTCAACTTTCCTAATGCCACAACCCTTTAACATAATTCCAATCATAAAATTATTTTTGTAGCTACTTAATAACTGCAATATTGCTACTGTTATGAACTGGGTGACCCCTGTGCAAGGGTCGTTCGATCCCCAAAGGGGTCGCAACCCACAGGTGGAGAACCGCTGTCTAGATGGTATGGTGCCTATTGCTTCGTGAAATTTTGGTAAATTA